CACACACACACACACACACACACACACACACACACACACACACACACACACACACTCTCTGATGCACACACAATTTCCACAACTCACCCATCACTTCCTGTCTCTTTACATGCCTGTACTCATATCTCCCTCTTTCCCTCCTTCTGTTCTGCACTCTCACTATTTTTCGCTCCCATTCGAGCCCTCCTCCTCACCCCTCATGTCCCTCACCCTCCACCCACCTCCCCCTTTCTCTTTGTCAGTGTGCAGTGGACTGAGCACTCAGAGCTGATCTGTTCTGGCATTTGAGGAGAAGCATTTTTCTTTTTCATGGCACTGCTGGAATGTCCAGAGACAGACACACGAGAGGAGACAAGGAGAGGAGAGGAGGAGAATAAAGGAGATAGGAGAGGAGAGGGGAGGAGAGGAGAGAGAGGGGACAATACTAGAGGAGTGGATGGAGGAGGAGAGGAGAAGAGAAGAGGGGAGACAAGGATAGAGGGGAGGGAAGGAGAGGAGAGGAGGGGAGAGGAGATGAGACAATGATAGAGGTGAAGAGGACCGGAAACAAGAGGTGGGGAGAGGGAGGAGAAGAGGAGACAAGTATAGAGGAGAGGACAGGACAGGAGAGTATAGGAGATAGGAGAGGAGGGAAGGGGAGAGGTGACAAGGATAGAGGAGCAAGGGGGGAGGAGGAGAGGAGAGGAGATGAGAGGAGACAAGGAAAGAGGTGAGAATAGGAGACAAGGATAGAGGAGAGGAGGATATGTTAAATAAGAAAAAGTAGAGAAAGTAAGGACAAGAGAGGAAAACAGGGGAAGATGTGAAAGGAAATTGGAGGAAAGAGGAGGAAAGGAAAAGAGGAGGCAGGAGAGAGTAACCGAGAGAAGAGGAGGCATCAGCAGGGGAGAGGAAACAGGAGGAGAGGAGTAGTGAGGAGAAGATAAATTCAGAGCAGAGAATCAAGAGGGGCCTGGTGATGAAATGGGAGAGGAGGAGACCAGTTTCAAGGCTGTAATTGAAATCTAATTATCACCTCAAGCCCCAGCTGACTCCACATCTCACACACACACACACACACACACACACACACACACATGAGCGTCACATTTGTGCACACGTCTGCACATGTTCTCGTACGATCATCACATTACTACCACTAACATCTGGCATCTTCACACACCACTAATCCCCCTGTCCCGAGAGCAGTGTAGGACCTCTGTGTACTTCCACCTCTCTCTCTCTCTCACACACACACACACACACACACACACAAATACACACATCCTCTCTGGTCTGCACACGTATACACACATTTTTGTGCATTCATGCAGAAACACACACACAAACGGTCAATGGTGGAAAATGGGTGACAAGCATCCTCCTAATTTCTAAATTCGTTCTGATGACTGTTCTCACACATGCAACGTCATCACTATCACACATGCAACGTCATAGCACAAACACACACACATAAATTCACCTATGCCTGCAGGAAATACACACACATACGCACACACAAACATAGTACACCATTTAGGATAAATGGCATCACATCCGATTTAGCCTGCACTGTCCTGACCTCGTAATGACGGGTGTGCGTGTGTGCGCGCGTGTGTGTGTGACAGGAGGATGGAGGGATACTGACTGGCTTTCCCTGGCCGAGGTCTCTGTAGAAGCCGCTGAGCTGTCAGCAAGTCCTCGGTCTTCACGGCCTGAAGCAGCTCCTGGTCCTTCCCCATGTCCCCTCCGTCCCGCCTCGGTCCTCTCGGTGCCGCTCTCTTCCTCTGAGCGCCCCTCTCTCCTCCGCTAATCCGCTGCTACATCCTGCCGCCGCTCCGGGCCTCCCGCTGGAGCTGAGGCGCGGAAGGGTTGATGCTGCCGGGAGTGGGATGCTCCGATTCGGCCAGGAGTCCAGCGCTCTTCCCGCTGTGCCTCCCCACCCTCCTCGCGGTGCTACCGACCAACCGGACCGACCGGACCTCGCTCTCTGCAAAAGATGCTCTCCGGCCGCGCAGGAACACACTCAGCGCAAATTCCACTGATTCTATCCGCGTGACGATTTCACCGGGTCTACGTGCGTGCGTGCGTGCGGTGGAGCTCGAGCGCCCTCCTATATGCTGGGTCAAATCCGCACCCCCTGAAATCTCACGAGCCCTCAATCCTGCAGAATAACACGCACGGGTCGCTGATGTTTAACGTGTGACCGCTGTCGCCGCTGCGATGCTGGACCAGCTCGCGCCAGCTCCAGCGCGCACACACACACATACACACGCATTCACAGTCACATATGGCATTACATAAACACGAGCTACTCGTGCGCGCGCCACTCCAGTGGTTGTAATCCCAGTCTGCGTGTCCCCGCGCGCGTTCGGGCGGACAAGTCAAGAGAGGTCGTTTGACAAAATAAAATTGTACTCAGTCGCATGCAAGAGGTGCAATCAGTGCGCGGGACAGTGGGAGGGAGAGTACGGGATCGCGCAGACCGTTGAGACACTCCGCACCGTCACTCAGATAGATGGACAAATCGGATCTATAACACTGTCCTTCATAAAATAAATCTGGCAATATTCATTCATATCTTGCACTGTAGCCTATTTTTTATCCTCCCCTTTATTTTTGTTTCATTCAAATGATTCTTTCTTCTCTTTAAATCCTCTTTACGTGTGTATTTTATGTTTCTTTAATATATAGTTTTTAATTAATCTATATATGTCTAATGTAAAGCACTTTTAACTGCTTTATTGTTTTAAAGTGCTACACAAATAAACTGACCTCGCCTCAATATGTGTCACAGTGGTGATGGTTTCACGTCAACATTGTTTAAGGTTAATGAGGCAGGGAAAATTCGAGGACAGGAAAAGTGTATGTGTGTGTGTGTGTGTGTGTGTGTGTGTGTGTGTGTGTGTGTGTGTCCCTGATGCAGGGCTAATTTAGACTAAAGGGGCCACTGGCAGTCAGATTTAGGACAGGAAATGGAACAGATGACAGAAGACTGGTACTCAATCAAACGGTGTGTAGCTTTATATTTGTGTATTGACACATAGCTGATTAGAATGGCAGATTGTTTTTCAGTTGAGAGTCAGCTTCATACACGGCCGGATTAACCCACTATGGGGGCCCCTCTTCAGCCCCCCCACACCAACTTACTTTGGTTAAAGTTAAGCAGAAATGTATTAGAGAATAAAAAGCATAGAGCTGTATCACAATGCCATACAGCTTTTGAGTATAGTGTTTGCACTGTAAAATGATAAAAGTATACTCAAAAAGTCAGCATGCATATACTGTATGTAGCACTAAGAAAAGGCTTGATTTTAAGAGTGCTGAAATAGAGGAGCTGCTAAAGAAAAGACAGCTCCAGGAAGATCTTGGAAAATCAAATATTGTTTACTCTTTGTGAGGTTTAATTGGAATGCAACACTTTGATTGAAGTCCAACTGCGCACTTACTGTGTAGTTTCCTGTTTGTATAAAACAATAAAGAATGCGGATTTCTGGTGCCCCGACTATACAAAAACAGTATTCTGTACAGATACGTTTATTATACGGACTTTGAGTTTACATACTAGCTGCTCTATGAGGCTGTATATAGGAATAGCGGTGCTTTGAGCTCAGTGCTAATGTCAGCATGCTAACACAGTGGAAATATTATCAGGCTGATGTTTAGCAGGATTTTATTCCAGGGGAAGTTTCCTGCTTTGCCTGGTCAGCAGTTCAGCCTTGGGTTCACATGCATTATAGTTTGTCAACTTAATATTTTAATTCATTCAACATGAACAACATTTTGCAAAGCGTCACACTTTTGTACAATTGTCTGTTGTTCCATAGGACTGAAGAAAGTAATTACACATGTTAACTGAGTTCAAATGCTGAATAGTTTATTGGTTTTAAAACTGCATTAATCAATGTAAGAACTGAATCAAATGGCTATGTCATGTGAAAGGGGCGTTACTTATTTAGAGAAACTAAATCTTCAGATATATTTCAGTAATCCTGTTGATATTGTTGACCAAATACTGAATGAGACATGCACATTAGCTGGATTAATCATTTTAGTGTTCATCCATAACTTATCTCAAGAAAACAACCTGTTGCTTTCTCATGAATATTGGGTATTTATCCAATTATCCAGAGAAACAGACCTAGTGTTTTCCCAAGATAATGAGATAATTAACCCGTTGTGACCAGAAAACAACTCTTTTGTCCTGAGATAACGAGATAATTAATTCCCAATCTCGAGATAACAGGATTAAAAACATAATTGCAATCACGGCGGCTCAAGGCTTCTATTCAAAACAGAGTAAAAGAAGAGAAAACATTAGACTCTTATTCCTTAATGGCTAGAAACAAATAACTGTTTGCTATTATTTCAACCATAACATGATGAGCTGGTGATATGTCAGCTTCTTTTGATGCTCCCCCCTTCTTGGCCAACTATCAATTAATGCAGCTTCAAACAGCAGCAGATGTTACAACTGATACATATCATGTCGGCAGTGATGCAGCTGCTATACAGGATATATTTGTGGTTATTTATCAGAAAACGATAACGTGTACCATGGGTATTCTGTAAAACATAATGATAATGTGTGCAAATAAGCCTTCAACAACTTGCAGATCAAATACTCAAGCTGTCATTGTGATATTTATAAAAATAAAAATAACACAACAGAATATTTCTTTAACTTAGAATACAATCAACATCTTGATACAGCGACAGACACTCTGTCCACACAGGCGTCTATATACAACAAGGGTACGCATGAACATAGTCTTTGACTTGAGTGCTGAGTCCAGATAAGGTGCTTATATTTTCTGCTCCATATGAGCCCATGAGAGCCCTCCTGCACATCTGCTTCAGGCGCTCCGGTCGCTGCTTGCGATAGGGCAATGTCAGTTTACAGGATGAGCCGGTGTAATAAGTGAGCAGAGCGAAAAGTGACGCAAAAGTCCTGTGGCTGCCGCACAGACTGAAGAGCAGGTTGTTCAGCTGGACGCGAACACTGGTCGGGCCGTCGTCGCTTTGGTAACTCAGAGTGAAGAAAACATCTGGCTGGCCGCTGTCTCTATAACACAGCAGCATGCATTTACAGTCACTTTATGCACACCTAATGTGGTTTATTTTCTTGTATAATGCTTTTTATCGGGCATGCAGTAAAGAGAAAAGGGTACAGGAGGACTATATCTATATGCATGTCTAATTTTGATCTTATAGGAATTTGTTTGACTAAAAATATAGGATAAGATATTAGTGAACACAATAGATCATTTTAGAATCAGACTCAGCTGTTCACAAAATAGGATTCATCAAAAGTCGTGACGAATATAAATACTGCAAGATATAAATGCTTTGTACATATTTTATGATAAACAAGCTACACTGGGTGAAGTTCATTTTTTATTTATTTACCCTGAACCAAATGCAGACAAAAACAACAGGTAAAACAAAACCATGTAGTGGTAGATTTACCTGATGAGGAAGGTACCCAGCTGTGCCCATGTGAGTATTTTGTGTGCCTGATCCATGGTCATCGATCCCCAGTAGTAACCACTGTGTTGGAGCTGCTGGTAGGTGTGTTTCACTAGTTTGTACTCTGCTGCGCTGCTGAATGGACGGAGGTGCGTGGGGAAACTCTCAGCATCAGCTCCAGTGATTGGCTGCTGCAGCAGAGAATAATAAATAAAGTTATTGCCAACAACAGTCACAGAGGAGGCAGTAAAGCAGAGTTAAACAGATGTTTGCGGGTTGAGTCTAAGTCATCCTACCAAAGTTTATATATATATATATATATATATATATATATATATATATATATATAT